ACAAATAAATAAAATAAAATCTTAATATATATATATATAATATATACATATATATATTATACATATATGTGTATATATATATGTATATATATACATAGGAAACAACATGTCCATCAAAAGTTAAATAAATTAAATCATATCTCTATAGTGGAGTGTTATTGAATGGTGAAAAATGATTTTATGGAAGTTTAGCTATTGACATAGGAAATATTTTTATGCAACCAATTGTACATGTGAGGAGGAAAATACGAGAGAATATACACCAAAATGTATAAGCACACACTCAATATACTTTGGTTAAAGTTGGGCAGGAAGATTACAGTGACTTTTACTTTGCTTATTGACATTTTCAATAAACCACCTTCTGTGAAATGGTCTTAAAACATTTAATAAAATACTTGATCAAGTAATTCCTCAACTCATTTACTTACTGTTCTGAATTTACAACCTATATGCTTTAAATTCTTGTACTGTAATAAACTTATTTTTTTTTAACTTGGATCTGTAATTTTTTAAATTTTTTTAAATTTCTTTTCAGCATAACAGTATTCATTGTTTTTGCACCACACACAGTGCTCCATGCAATTTGTGGCCTCTCTAATACCCACCACCTGGTTCCCCCAACCTCCCACCCCCCACCCCTTCAAATCCCTTAGATTGTTTTTCAGAGTCCATAGTCTCTCATGGTTCACCTCCCCTTCCAATTTCCCTCAACTCCCTTCTCCTCTCCATCTCCCCTTGTCCTCCATGCTATTTGTTATGCTCCACAAATAAGTGAAACCATATGATAATTGAATCTCTCTGCTTGATTTATTTCACTCAGCATAATCTCTTCCAGTCCCATCCATGTTGCTACAAAAGTTGGGGATGAATACCCCAATATATACTATGGAGGCATAATACTCCATAGTATATATGGACCACATCTTCCTTATCCATTTGTCCGTTGAAGGGCATCTTGGTTCTTTCCACAGTTTGGCAACCATGGCCATTGCTGCTATAAACACTGGGGTACAGATGGCCCTTCCTTTCACTACATCTGTATCTTTGGGGTAAATACCCAGTAGTGCAATTGCAGGGTCATAGGGAAGCTCTATTTTTAATTTCTTGAGGAATCTCCACACTGTTTTCCAAAGTGGCTGCACCAACTTGCATTCCCACCAACAGTGTGAGAGGTTTCCCCTTTCTCCACATCCTCTCCAACACATGTTGTTTCCTGTCTTGCTAATTTTGACCATTCTAACTAGTGTAAGGTGGTATCTCAATGTGGTTTTAATTTGAATCTCCCTGATGGCTAGTGATGATGAACATTTTTTCATTTGTCTGATAGCCATTTGTATGTCTTCATTGGAGAAGTGTCTGTTCATATCTTCTGCCCATTTTTTTAAATGATTGTCTGTTTTGTGTGTGTTGAGCTAAAGACCACCTTGCTTAAGAATGCTTGGATCAACCAGGAGATCAAAGAAGAACTTAAACAATTCATGGAAACCAATGAGAATGAAGACACTTCGGTCCAAAACCTATGGGATACAGCAAAGGCGGTCCTAAGGGGGAAATACATAGCCATCCAAGCCTCCCTCAAAAAAATTGAAAAATCCAGAATACACCAGCTGTCTCTACACCTTAAATAACTGGAGAATCAACAACAAAACAAACCAACTCCACACATAAGAAGGGAAATAATCAAGATTAGAGCAGAGATCAATGAGGTAGAAACCAGAGATACAGTAGAACGTATCAATGAAACTAGAAGTTGGTTTTTTGAAAGAATCAATAAGATCGATAAACCATTGGCCACACTAATCCAAAAGAAAAGAGAGAAAGCCCAAATTAATAAAATTATGAACGAAAATGGAGAGATCACAACTAACACCAACGAAGTAGAAACAATCATCAGAAGTTATTATCAACAGTTATATGCCAATAAGCTAAGCAACCTAGATGAAATGGATGTATTCCTGGAAAACTTATTTCCTTTTAATTGCTTCATGGGATCACAGAACTATGAATTGGGAATTGGAAAACTTGAGTTCTAACCCTAGCTTTAGCACTTGTTACTAGCCTCTTGGGGAAGTTGGTGCTCACTAATGGTTATGACACTGGACAAGCATCCCTCTCTAAGTGTTAATGTTGACTAGCTCATTGGTGTTCCAGGTGTGGTCTGTGGACAGATTGCATCTTATTGCCAGTAGATATGTATAAGGCTTTCCTCTAGGCCTACTGAGTCAGACGAGCATTATCACAAGATTTCCAGGTCATTTGTCTGCATGATGAAGATGGAGAACCAGGGGACCAGATCATCTGTCGATCTTGTTTCAGCTCTAAGAAGTGATACTTTACGATGAATCTTTCATAGATCTGAATCATTCAGAGCCAGGTTCTTATCGAATTATTCCCTGAGAAGTGAATTAGTTTCCTTCACTCAAACCTCTTTACTACTATAGATGCTATACATCTACATTTGTGTCTCCCTCTGGAAGTCATGGTGAGGTCACAAGCATCTTAATGTCATTCCCTATGACCAAATACAGAAATGGGAATGTCAAATCAACAGGAAAGGAAGAAATCATTCATTATAGCAATGAGATGCTGCTTATGAAACGTTAATAGACGTGCCATGCATTGTACTAAGAATATTTAGAAAATCAGCCTATTTAAACCTCTGTATAAAACTGGTATTTTATCCACTCATTACAAATGAGGAAATTTATAGATAGATAAAGATATAGATAAAAAATATAAAAATACATATAAAGCACATTCATTACACTCACATGCTCACAGAATATTATATATATATAAATACACACACATACACACACACACACACACACTGTCTCTTGGTCTGAAGGAGAGCAAACGCTGAGTGCCTTGAGCATGTAGCCCTCTCAGCCCCTAAAGAGTCCTCAAGTCTACTTTAAATTCATTAACAAGATTAGAAGCTTTCCCTCCCAGCCTCGTGAGAATTTAGGGCTTGTTTCAGTATTCGCAAGGGAGAAGATATTCTTCACATGGACTGGAGTCAGTCACTGGCTCCCTTAGGAAAGGGCCGTAAGTGCAATTGTACCCGATGGTGGGAAGAGCACTGGACTTACAGACAGGAGATACGGATTCTAGCTATAAGCATTCCACCAATATCATGTGACTTGGCCAGGTCACTTCACTCCCCTGAAGCTGTAATATGTCCACAATGAAACAAAAATGATAAGCCCTCCCTGGCCTACCTTACAGTGTCACTCCAGGGGACTTCACTGAATAAGTTACATAGAGCCACACAAATAGAAGCACCACTCAAACAAAGAAAATTCCATGGTGGCTTTACACTGTCGATTTAGCTAAGCTAGAACAGCATTTTCTAGAATTTCCTTTCCTATCTGTTTCCCAGTTAGAGTTGGCCACGAGAGACATTAGTGTCAGGCCTGCAAGGCAGAAGTGACACCTCGGTCATTTCCCGGCAGACCAGTGCAGGCCAGTGGCTTGTGTTCTCAGCTCGTGCTCTCAGCTGCTTCACTTGACAGCATGGGGCAACTTCAGGCCCATCAGCAGAGGCAAAGACGACAGCTTTGCAGAGCCGCCCCCACCAGCCAGCCCTCATAACTGCACCCGCTTCTGAGCACGATGCCTCTCTTACTTCGTACCACTCATGGTTGTTATCTCATCAAGCTGTGACTGATACATCATCATTACCAAAGAGGAGACGACTTTAAGGGGGTGCTTTGATTTCCTTCCCAGATGTACCTTACAACTTAATTTTGCTTATTCAATAAAGTTCACAGGCTTTGGAAAACAAACCATATGCTCCGCATATGTTAACACACACACACACACACCACACACACTGAGTCAACTTAGTTAAACTTTTATCTTAACCAAAGATGTTCTAAAAACTACCAAATCAGGATTTGTTAAAGCTTTATATATTGTCACATCTTAGCCACAATTTATTCATAAGATTGAGTCGAAAAAATTTTTTTTTCAAAATGTGTCCCATGTATTGCTTCAAAAATGAGATGGTCTCCATTGCCACACTGTGCAATCCCATTTATCGACTGACTGACTGTGGCCTGTGAGCCAGCAATTACTGTGTTAACAAGAACCCTGAAGGATTGGGAAAGAATACTGATAAGTAGGAAGGAGAGTTTGAGAGAGAGAAAGTACTCAAACCCAGGAAGCACTCTCCACTTTATCTAAATGCTAGAGGTTCAAAATTTCTTTTCTTTTCTTTTTTTAAGAGAAAGAGTGAGCAGGGAGGGGCAGAAGGAAAAGGAGAGAGACTCTCCTGTAGACTTGATGCCCAGGGCAGAGCCTGACATGAGGCCCGATCCCAAAGCCCCCAGATCATGACCTGAGCCAAAATCAAGAGTCAGATGCTCAACAGAATGAACCACCCAGGCGCCCCATTCTTTTTTATATCTAGACGTACAAACTCCATATCCATTACTCATTCTTCCATCTGCTCTCTCAGCTCCAATGCTCAGGAGAAAGAGCTCAGGTCCAGACAGCAGGCAAGGGTTTGGGATTTCGAAGTGCTACTCCCACACTATAATCCCAGTATCCCAGTGTAGACCCTGAGGTTCAACCTATTCTCAGCAAGGCTTTCTACCCCATCACCCCGTCTTTTTCAAACATGCAGCAAATACCCACTCTGTGCACACAGATTTATATTCCAGCTGCTTGGATTTTCTCTCCACAGGTCATTAATCTGTGGAGATCAAGGTTAACATGAACACAGGACTGAGGAGCCAAAGATCCATGGAAACCGGATAACCAGCTTCTCCTCAACACTACATGGTTTTCAAAAATAGACATAACTTCTCTGAAGTTCAGGTCCTTCACCTATAAAATGCGACAAGGATAGCTACTTCATGGTTATTATGACTGTTAGGTAACAAATGTGAAAATACTTGGTAAAACTTGCATGTATAATGATATTAGAATATTTTAAAGAGTAGTCTTGTGTAGTATTTTAGAACGTCAAACTGTAGCCTCAAAAATTTTACCCGTGTAGCAAAGTACTTCCGTGAGAAAAAAGGTCGGTGATAAGGATTGGGGTAGAGTGTTGATTCAGTCACACTTGGCTGCCTTGAAATCTGCCTTGGCTCCGGGTCCTTGCCTGGGTCCCTCTCCTCCATGGACAGCTGGTCAGTCTCAGAGGGTTGGTCATCTCCCTCTTGCTTCAGAGACACAGGGTGGAATCCCTCAAAACTCCTAATCGTTGACATTTCTTCTACCTAAAACAAGGGAAAAAAACAATCTTCTCAGTAGAAAAAAAGGAAGGGAAAGAAGTCACCTCTGTCCTTTGCTCTGGCAAAAAGTTGGCAGTGTGCAAATGATGTTCCTGAAACTGACAAAAGCACCCACATATTCACTAAACAAAGGCACTAATGAATCAGTTCAATAACACAGACACCACCACCCTGTTAGGCCATTTGGTGGGGGTGTATAGGAGGGGTGGGAAGCAGAGACCCTCTAGACAGACAAAAGGTGGCTGTAAGTAGATCCTTCCCCTGCACCCCCACCCCGCCTTGAATCCCAGAGGACAGGAAGCGGAGTATGGAGATGGGAGTATAATAATTACTAAGCAATCGATCTTTAAGATTTCATAGAATTTTTGCTTAAAAACCCATCAGCCTGACAACTTATTTAACACTTAAAAGGAATGATAATGCACCTTTTCCTATGCTGCTTGGGTAGTAATAGGGCACAAAAGCACTTAGAACTGAGCATATTTTAACTCAAAAAACAACAATTCCAAAATTTTATCCTAGGGAAATAATGTAGACAAATGCCCAAAGACATCAATATAGAAGGTAAATTCATCACATGTGTCTAATAGCAGAAAAATACACAACTTTATGTCTAATAGCAAAACACTGTGTGTAACAGTCACGTTAGACACTCATGCAATACTGTTTCTTTTTTTTTAAATATTTTTATTTATTTGACAGACAGATCACAAGTAGGCAGAGAGGCAGGCAGAGAGAGGAGGAGGCAGGCTCCCCGCTGAGCAGAGAGCCCAATGTGAGGTTCGATCCCAGGACCCTGGGATCATGACCTGAGCTGAAGTCAGAGGCTTTAACCACTGAGCCACCCAGGTGCCCCTGCAATACTGTTTCTAATACCAAAAGAATATAGTAAAACGAAGAACCAGTCAGTAGGGAATTGGTTAAATACTTTATATCATAAAGTGAAATATAATGTAGTCATTAAAAATGTAAGTGCATATTTTTATCATGGAAATCTATCCAAAATATATTGTTAATGAAAAAATATTATGAATAATTATGAATTATTAGATTCAAATGGGTTAAAAATAATTCGAAAAGACAAAAAAGAAAGAAGAAAGGAAACTGGAAGTTCAATATGTATATACATGTATTATGTGGCAGGGTTAGAAAATATCTAAAAAGAAATAAAATAGAATATTTATGGTTATTTCTGGATGATAGGTGATTTTCATTTTTTGTTTTTATAAGTCTCTGGATGCTTGCAATGATTATATATGACTCAAGTAAAAACACAATAAACTTAATCTATTTTATAAATACACAGCACTATTGAACAAAATAAATAGAAAGCACACACCACTCTAGTAAAAAGCGCCCCCACATCAGGTCACCATTTCCAAGCTGAGACCAGATAGTCTGGCCTGCAGTAAGTACACTGTCCAGGCTACACAGAAGGTGGGTTTTGTGCCCTGCTTCACTGTGACTGGGAACGCCATCTTATTCTCAAAGCTGCTTCAGTGTTCCTAATCAAATAAATCCCATCTCCTCAATTCCTGTGAAACACTAGACCATGAGAAACAGCCCCACCCCCAGCAAGTGTACATTCTTAACATTGGAATTAGAGTATTCAAGAGAAGTAAAAATAGTATGAGCATATAACCTATTGCCTAAAGCTGGACACTTTGGAGCATGAAAAGTGCACTATTAACAATTATGTCAGAATGAGAGGAGTAAACAGGGATTCTCTAAGACAGAGGTGGACGTACCCAGTCACCCTGCGATGTTTGAATGCAAGAGAAAACACAGCTGGTCAGGGGACTCTGCAGGTCACATGACGGTTCCCCCGTTGGATCCTCCCAGCAACCCTACAAGATGGTTTTACCTGTATCTCTCTGGGAATCACAGCATTTAGGGACCCACCCAGGGCACACTCAGATAGCTGTGGGGGCATCCGGATGCCCACCCTGGTCTCCCAACTGGGCTTCCAGACCAGTCCAGCGCGCCCATCCTGAGGCACGCTGTGTTACAGCAGGATGGCTTTGCTGAGTCTTCAGTAATTTTTTTAAGTTAAATGCACAAAAGGCAGAGATTGGCCTGTAGGAAATACAAGGCACACCCATAGAAGCAGGAGAAATCGCGTGTGCGTGCACTTTGTGTGTGTGTGTGTGTGTGTGTGAGAGAGAGAGAGAGAGAGAGAGAGAGGGAGAGAAAGACAGAGCAGAGACAGAGACAGAACAATCAGTGAAGTACTTCAGCCTCCCTGGCAGGTCTGCCGCCTCAACAACCCAGCGGGCTGTTAGCAGGAAGAGTGTTTCTGGAGTTCCCTGTAACCTGTTAAGGAAGGTTTGTGCCTTTGGGGGAAGGAAAGCCTGCTTCTGTATTTGCCACACTCTGTGAACGCATGCCTCACAACAGACATCTGCAGAAGGCTCCTGTGCCTGGAAAACAGGGGGAGGACTTAATTTGCACCACTTCCTCTCCCTCAGGCTGTCTTCTCTGGAAACACTCTGGGAAGAGAATTCAGAGCACTTTGAGACCAAGCTGTTTGAGATCCAGGAAAGAGGGGGAAACTCAGCTCCAGTTCAATTCTTAACAGCCATGAGTCATGGACAATGGAGTCTGGCCACCTTAATCCAGGATGATTCCAGCTCGGCTCTGGTCACGAGGACATCTTTGCGAGGACAGCAAATGTAACTTCCTCTACAACCTCCTCAATATGAGAGGAGCGCCCACATCGAAGGGGCCAGCTCCACTCCTCATCACCCTCCGCCCAGACAATATATCTCCCCAACTCAACAGATAAGCTCTTCTACCTCTGCCCGAATAGTGGACATTGAAATATTAAAAGCGTATTAATACTGAAAACAAATCCAGACAAATTCAAATGTTTTTGCTGCTTCACATGGATAAAGCATGCCTTGCGACAGACCCATTCGGGGCCACTTATAATTTAAAAAGATCATTATTCTCTAACACTCCATGGAATCTTAAGTATTAGCATTTAGTACTCAAGTCGCACAATTTCTAAGGGAAGTAAGGTCAAGGCTTAGAAAAGAAGTCCATGCTTTTTGACCTGATCTCATTCCAGAAAATTCTAAAGAAGCAAAAGGGAGTCACATTAATTGCTTATTGTGGGAGGTAATGAAAAACTAGAAATCAAGTAAACACCGAACAGCCAAGGAGTTGCAAAGTCTGTCCAATGGATAGCCTGCAGACATTTAAAACAACGTGCATAACCGATGTCAGAGCAAGGAAGTGAAGGACGTATCTTTCCAGGTGAAAAAAAAAATCAAAAGCAAAAAAAGATTTCCTCTAGATAGGATGATTGGAATAATTTTTTACATTGATAAAGACCATAAGGAAAATACTTAGATTTATTGAGGTAGTTGGATTGAAAGTTATTTTTTTGCTTTAAAAAAAATTAAATTGTGTTAGTGCTGCTTTTGTAATAAAACATACAACGTTTAGTAAATATGTTGATTTGCGAACTCTGGAGACTTTCTGATATAATATGAAACTGGCCCCCGACACAGAGGGCAAGGAGAGATCAGACAAAGAGCAGTAAGTGGCCGGTTTAACAGGCAAGAGAACTTAATGTGAGTTGTCTTTGGTGCTTCAAAACAGGCACCTCTCTGCATATGCTCGCTAGAACCGTAAAAGTTTATTTAGTTTTTAAAGACAGATTTATTTATTTGCTTGCTTATTTATTTATTTATCAAAGAGAGAGCACAAGCAGGGAGAGCAGCAGGCAGAGGGAAAGGGTTAGAAGCAGGATTCCCACTGAGCAGAGAACCCGATGTGGGATTCAATTCCAGGACCCTGAGATCATGACCTGAGCTGAAGGCAGACACTTAACCAACTGAGCCACCCAGGTATCCTGCTTTTTTTTTTCTTTTTTTAAGATTTTCATAATCTTAAAAGTTTATAGATATGGCATACTTGGATTCCATCATATATAAGGTCAATACAGTCTCAGCAACACCTCCACTCTCTTTTCCTCTCTCTCTCTCTCAGCTGTGTCCTGTCTCTCCTCAGCTGTGGCTCCCACTGTGGGAATAGTGGGTGGAATGTACATTTCAAGGGCAGGGGATGGGGGAGAATTTTCCAACTGCCCTGGGGCTAGCTAGCTCGAAGGTCAACTAGTGGTCATATCTTCTGCATGACCTTCAATGTAATGCCAAGTAAATATCTAAAGCAGCGCGATTCTTCCTTCAATCAGATGATAAGTCTTCTATATTTTTCAGCTGCCAGCAAATTCAGAGCTAAATTTAATACAGTATTGCAGTAAATAACTTATTTCTGGGTCCTCATCTAAGTATACCTGCCTCACTATATACATGCTTTCATCTATCTCTCTACGATCTTTTCTGATAGTATTTCAGAAGCACATGGGGCATAAATTGTGGCTGGAAAATCAATGTCTAGTGCAACTCCTTCATTTTGCAAACTTTGGAACACTCAGGTGAGGGCCTCACCCAAGGAGCTAAATAAAATCAAAACAGGACTTCGGGTTCTTGTTCACTGCTTCAAGTTAGAGCACTTAGAAGAGAAGCTGAGAAACAGTTACCAAATTTACATGTTGATCAATTGGAAACACTTTTGCGGAATGTCTCAGTCAGTCAGCTCTGCTTTGCTCTGGGCTGGGAGATAAAACTCCCAGGAAGCAACTTCTCCTGCATCCCCAGCAGGTGCCCAGCACCCAACCCCAGGAGCTAAAGCTTTCTCCTCTACCTCGCATCAGGTTGACTTATCTGTTAAGTATGACAGGTACAGTGCCTATGGTCCACAAACCTTTTAGGGGCTCAGGAAACATGTCAATTTATTTTAAAATCAGAAAAGACAGTTTTTATGGTCAAAAGAAATGTTTTGATTTAACCACACTATTTGATGACATAGAAATGTAAGTTTTAATATTGACAATGTTATGGTGGAGAGGCCCATAAAGACAAAAGAGTTTTAGTCTCATGAAAATGATAATGTGACCCTGAATCAAAGCTCCATCC